ATCTTTAGATTTATATTATCCTTATTATTATTTTTAGAAGAATTAGAGGGATTTTCTAGGTTTTTCTAGGATAAGGGATATTTCTAAAGGTATAAGAAAAAGTAATCTTCTTCTATATAATTTTTTATTTTATAATATTTATAAAATATACTTTTTATCTTTTTCTAGGGTTTTTTAGTTATTTTTAAGGGCTTTTTAGTTCCTTAAAGAGTTAAAATTTTCCCTTTATTTTTCTAAGACCTATTAAAATTTAAAAAGGAAGATATAATTTTTTCTAATAAATAATTAAAAGGATCTTAATAAAGAGCTTATATTATATAAATTATAGTATTCTCGTTTCTATTTTATATTTTATATAGAACCTAGGCCTTTATTATTTATTTTAAAAGGTCTAATTTTCTATTCTTTAATTCCTCTAATAATTCTATAATTTTATAAAAAAGGTTTTCTATAGAATTAAAATTAAAGGGATCTAGAGCGAAAAACGATATTAAAATATCGAAATTAATTTAAAAATATTTTAATTTATATAATTCTTATAATTTTTTCTAGATTTCTAAGGGATCTAATAAGCTATTAACTTAAATAAGTAAGCTTATATCTAAAATACTTAATATATTCTCTATAGCTTTAAAGGCTTCTATATATTTTTCTTTAATTAAATTAATAAGAAGAGGTTTAATAACTTCTTTTAATTTAATTCCTTAAAATAAGAAAAAAGATTTAATTTATATAATCTAAATCTTATATCTATTATTACCTTTAAGCTTCTAAAAGGATAGCTTAAAAGTACTTTTATTTATAATTATAGAGTATTAGAGAGGTATTATAATATAATAAAGTATAGTATATTAATAAAAATTATTTAAGAATAAGAAGAAATATTAAAATAAAAATTATATTAATAGAAAAAGGATCTTCTAATAATTCTTATATTTAAAAGGGAATTTTATAAATAAAAAGATAATAATATAAAAGGCTATTAAAATATAAATATAAATATAATTAAAAATTAAATTAATAATTACGATTATTTAATAAGGAGAAGAGCTATCGATATAAAAAGTATATTAGAAGATAGAGAATCTTCTAAAGATTAAGGATAAATTAATGAAAATTAAAATAACTTAATATATAATAATTAAGAAGAGGTTAAAGTTATTAAATAATTAAAGGATTATTATCTCGATTATTTATAATTCGATTTCGAAATAGATCGGAAATCCGGGCTTATAACCTTTTAATATAAATTATAATCGATATAAGAAATATTAAATAATAACTAAGGGTATAGCTTAATTATAGAATAAAGAGATAATAATAAGTAAAAGGAAAAAAGAAATAAAAAATAATTATATCTCTAAAAGGAGACGTTAAATCGAGAAATAAATCGAAGATTCTTATAACCTTTAATAAGAGCTATAAAATAATATATTTTTCGTTTAGGTTAAAGGTAAATAGGTCGAAGGGTAATTAGAAGAAAGTTATAATTAATTAAGAGAAATATTTAAATTAATCCTAATAGGAGTAAAGTATATCTTAGAAGGTATCCGTTCTTAATAATTAAGAACGTATAAATTAGATAAGAATTATTATATAAAAGGGATTTATAAGAATAATTAGAATTAAATAATTATTAAGATCTAAAAACCTAAAAAATAGGTCTAAGGGGTATCCTCTATATATAATAGATTAACCCTTAGTAGCTATACGTGGATAAGGCGCTTAGATTACCTCTAGACCTACGGGGAAGTAGAGTCGGATTTAAGCTCTAGCTAATAGGGTATAAGAGAACTTAAACGCTTATTACTATAGAACGGCTTTATAGAATATTATAAAAATTATACCGTTTTATAGCTACGAATTTTCTCTATTTTATAATATATATATCGTTATAGTTTAGCTTTTATTCAAGCTACTAGAGTAGTTATAAGACTCTAACCCTTATAACTCCTATAGAATATATTATAAAGATAATGAAATTCTTAATTTAAATAGTCTAAATATAATATAGCTATTTATAATATTACCTTTATTAAGAAAAAGTAAATATCGATTAAATAGGGATAATAGTTAATAAAGGAAATAAGAGTAATCTACTCTACTAAATAAACCTATAATATAAATTACCTCTATATAAAAATAAATATAAAAGGAAAATAAATAAATATATTATTAGATAATAGCATTTAAGGTAATTATATAAGCCTTAAATATATTAATAAGAATTATATTAATTAGAAATATAAAAAGGAACCTTATTAACTTAGTATAATAGAAGGATAAGCGGTCTTATATAGAGGAGGAATCGTAAATATAAAGACTATGCCCTTCTAAGGATTTATTTCTCGCTAATCTAGCTATATAACCTTTAATATTATTAATATAAGAGGAAAATAAATTATCCTAGGTATCCTATAGCTTAGAGAATAGAACCCTTAGATTAATTAAATAGCTAGCTATATTTAGTAGAGTACGTTAGCCCTTAAGGAACGATTTAGAGACGGTCTCTTAAACGACCTCTAATTAGCCCTTATAAATAAGGATAACTTAGAAGAGATAACCCTAAAAGAGCTTATAAAAGAATAATAAAATAGATTATAAAATATACTTAAAGAATACTAGAAGTACGAGAAAGTATTTAGGGAAGAAGTCGGCCAGCCTTCACGAGTATGCTGACCGCTCCTACAACACAATGGCTTCTTCACGATGGGGACTCGCTTCCAGAAAGATAGCGTGATAGTGCTTGCGTGGGTGCTACGTGTTGGTCTGGTTGTAGACAGTATTGAGTCGGTCCTGACACCGCATGCAAACAGCTTTCGTGTAAGATTCATTCATCTATGTATCATGCATAAACCCAGTTCACGCCGCCACTGGCACAGGCGTCACCTCTACCTTCTCAATTCTTTTCCTCTTCTCATCCGGCGCCAGCTCAAACACGCCCACCCCAGATATTGTCTCCTTGGCCTTTGTCCTCTCCTCCACCGACGGCTGAATCATTTTGCCCTCGAGCCTCTTGTCCGCCGACGTCATGGGAGCGTACAGCTTGAGCAATTCGTTGAGCCTCTTCTTCTGTAGGCAGTTCTCGATTTTCCAGCTCGCCGCCAGAGCATCGAGCTCCTCAAACGTCTTGTCCTTGAAGTAGTCGGCCCACTCCTGGACCATGTACTCTGCCATGGTGAGACCGCGAATGCCGCGGAACACGTGCATGTGCATGCGCCACTGCCAAGGGTACTTCTTGCTGTATTGCGCCGGCACGTTGTCCTCGAACCACTTGTGAAGGGGTCCAAAGAGGCCGTCCTGAAGGTGGGCGTCGTCATAGGCCCAGCTGTCCACGGCCAGGTCGCGTCCACTGCTCGTCAGCAGGCTCATTGAGAGAGTTGAAGCCGGCGACCCAGGGATTGCTCTTGTAGCGCGCAGCGATGACCTTCCACAAATTGATGACCCGGTCCTGGAAGTGCTTGTGGTCCCAGAAGGCTGCGTAGCCTGTCGGGCTGTCGCAGTGCCAGTCTTGATTCTGGCCTCCCTGGGCCGAGTGGAGGTCCAGAATTGTGTAGATGCCGTACTTGGCGCAAAGCTTAATGGCCCTGTCCGAGTGCTTGAAACCCTCCACTTTAATCACCACGGGGTTCATATCGTCCTCAGAATTGAGGTAATTGAAGGACAAGTGAAGGCAGCTGAAGCCGAGTAAAGAAAGGAATTCGGCGCCTTCTCGGTGAAGAAGTATTCGAGAAACTTGTCGAAGAAGAAGTCGTACTTCTCTTTGCCGAGAACCTTGAGGAGAGCAGCGCGGATCTGATTCTCCCGGCCAGGGAAGCCGTTGATGAAGTTCTCCATGAGCATCCAACCACCTAGCGTTGTCTGTGCCATTGACGTTAGCAGGAATTTGATGAGTAGCACCCAGAGCTGGACGCACTCCTCGCAGCAGCACGGTGTGGCCATTTGCGTCGACAATGTCCTTGCCGGGCGTTCTGAGGATGCTGGAAGCCATGTTGGAAGGCTTCTCAGAAGCAAGAGGAGGATAGTGAGCTAGAGAATGACAGCTTCCGCGAGAACTGTTGCTCCCTAAGGACCACAACGCTTGCCGATCCATCATCCGACAGCCGACGCGACTAGCAGCGCGTCTGGCCAAAAGAGCCCCAGAACGCCTTACGCTCCACAAGTATGAATCTTCGGGGATCCTCTTTGGGGAATCCTTGTGCTCTCCAGGTAAATATTTGTAATAGGGACAGTATCTGGGACGTTGAAACTGTGACCCAAGGCAACCCCTCGTGTTGTCGGGGCAAGTAAAGACGTCCCCCGAACCCCACGCGACCGCCGAGTCGGATAGTCAAGACACGCTAGGGGCAAGCTTTTAGATGCTCCGACAAGAATTCCCATGTGCATGGGCTGCTTCGGGGCTTCGTTTTGAATCCCGTGAACATCTGTGATTGACCGAGCCACCCTTTCAGGGAAGCCGAGAGGACAATCTCCTCAAGCCCGGGCCCGATCCTTGACTCAGTCGGCGCGGGCGGCGCCCGCCCGGTCTCCCATTCGCTCCCCGCTATGGACTTCTGGGACAAATCCATCACGTTGTGCGCGCGTGGAGTTTACTCCAGCTTCAGTCTCTTCTCCGCACTCCTCCATCTCTGGACCTCGTTTCCCCGGCCATGGTTCTGTCCTGGGCCCAGGTCCCATGATGACCTGTCACTGACCTTTAGCCGGAGACCCTCGACCTCAGCCCAGCGTTCGGAACTCCAAGTAAGCATCTGAACCGGGTCTTCTCCTGGTCTTAAAAGGAGAACTCGTCCCGGCTTCCTGGTCGTCTTGGGTCATCAGCCTACCCTCAAGTTGTCTCCTCACCTGCATTGCCAGACACCCTCTCCATACGCACGATAAACGCATTTCGACAGCGTCTGCCCGCTCCCAGGCATTCGACAACCCCCGAGGTGCTCAGCTCGGACTCATGAGCGCCATCATGTCCCTCGGCAGCATCTGCTTGACGCCCATCGCGCCTTGGGTCGCCGATAAGTACGGCAGGCGCATGGGTATTACTGTCGGTAAACTCATCATGATTATTGGTGCGATTCTGCAGTGCGAGAGTCACAACTTTGGCATGTTTTTCGGCAGTAGATTCGTGCTCGGATTTGGTTTGTCTTTTGCCACGACATCGGCGCCAGTCTCGTCAGCGAGCTGTCGCATCCGAAAGACCGCGTCACGGTGACGGCCATCTGCAATACTTGGTAAAGTCGTCTTGCCGTCTCGAAACATGCGCTGACGCGTTTCACTAGCGGGTTCGTTAGCAGCATCGCCGCGGCTTGGATCACCTACGGCACCCGCAACATTCAAAGCACTTGGTCTTGGCGCCTTATTCCCTCTTGCAAATGGCTCCAAGCATAATCCAGCTTTCGACCATCTGGTTCCTTCCCGAGTCACCGCGCTGGCTGATCTCATATGATCGTAGCGAGGAGGCCGCGAAGGCTCTCAAGCAATACCATGGCGAAGGCGGCGAGACGAAGCTCGTGCGACTGGAGTTTGAAGAGATCCGTGCTGCGATCGACCACGAGAAGCGTACGCGTCGACGTGCCTCCCAAACCATGCCTACAGAGATTCTTACTGACACTCAAGCTTAGGCTCGGGAACAACGACGTGGCCCTCGATGGTCAGAACCAAGGGCAACCGTTATCGCATGTTCCTCGTCGTCTGCATGGTTTCATGAGCCAGTGGTCGGGCAACGGTCTTGTGGCGTACTGTGAGTAGCTCGTTTCTCGGAAAAAGGCGGCATCGCTGACAGACACAGACCTGTCGCGCGTCATGGACACCGTCGGCATCACCGACAAGAACACCCAGGCTCTCGTCAACGGCCTCATCAACATTTGGAACTTTGGCCTGGCCCTGACGGCGAGGCGGCTGATATGCGCATGGACGAGGGTAAAGGTTGGAGGGTCTTGTGGATGTTGAGGAAACGGAAAATGTCCAACGAAAGGTGTAGGATGTTGGTGAATTGCTTGCGTACCTACCTAGGTACCTAGATCAGGTACCTTCAGAAAAGACTCGCACGATACTTCCAAGTGTCAAAGATTATGGTCCTTCCCGGGCCTTTCCCAAACGATTGTTCCGGGGAGAAGATGCCCTGTGGCGGTGCAGCCTCAGTGGCTGGACCCGCTAAACGCGAACGCAAGCAGTCGTTTCCGCCCTGAAAGCGCACTTTGACGACTTTGGTGTGCATGAATGAGCGAGGCTACGGCGTGGCCATTGGCGTAGACAAACCTGCCAAGCTCCATCCGGGAAGGCCGGTGCCAACCGAACCAAAGAAATCCCGAGAAAAAATCGTTCACGTACATGCCAAGTCTGTTTGCGAGAACTAGCCTACGTCGGCAAGTCGGTCAACAACTTACGCAGTCAAGCTTGCCAAGACAGCGTACCCAAGTGGGGGGGATTTGCCATAAGAGGCAGGCGAGATGCAGTCACGACTAAGGCGAGGCAGGCACCGCCAAGCAGGGTCTTTGCCTTTAAGCCGTTCAACGCCCCCAATTCGCATCACTGCACTTGCCTTTCTCCCTCTCCCACCATCCCTCTCTCACTCTCTCACTCTCTCACTATTGCCTCATCATCGGCTCATCGTTGTACCGCCGACACGCATCCCATTTGACCAACACCATCGCCAACCTATTCTGAAGTCGCCTCGCCATCAACCCCGCGCCTCTCGCCCTCCATCACCATCCTCCACCAGGTCTTGCCATCTACCCTGATGGAGTCCGCTCCCCGCTACACTGTCACCGTCTCCGTCGTCCGAGCCTTCTGCCTCGGCCGATTCTCCACAGAATCCCAATAACACAACCTAAAGGTCCAAGTGCACTGAGGAACGGAAAAGCACCCTCTCTCCTTTCGCCATGGCGAAATCCAACGAAAAGGGCCCGGACGACGGACACGTGAGCGGCCAGTCGAACCAACCACTAACCCTTCCCGCCCACAGCCTCTCCCTCCAGCAAGTCGTCGACGAGCTGAAGGCCAGCCAAGTCGATGGGCTGACCGCTGCCGATGCCGCATCGCGGCTGCAGACCTATGGCAAGAACGAGCTCGGCGAAGCCGAGAGCGTCTCGCCCGTCAAAATCATCATCGCCCAAGTCGCCAACGCCATGACCATGGTCCTGATCCTCGCCATGGCCGTCAGCTACGGCATTGGTTCCTACATCGAAGGCGCCGTCGTCACCTTTGTCATCCTGCTCAACGTCATTGTTGGTTTCTTCCAGGAGTACTCCGCTGAAAAGACGATGGACTCTCTTCGGTCTCTGAGCTCCCCCACAGCTCGTGCCATCCGTGACGGCGAATCGGTAGTCCTTCCCTCTGGGGATCTTGTGCCTGGCGATCTCGTTGAACTCAAGGTCGGCGACACGATCCCTGCCGATGTCAGAGTCTTTGAAGCCGTCAATTTCGAGACTGACGAAGCCCTTCTCACCGGTGAATCACTCCCCGTCCGCAAAAGCGAGACTGTCACGTTCCCTGAGAAGACGGGACCTGGTGACCGCCTCAACGTCGCTTACAGCTCGTCCAACGTGACCAAGGGCCGCGCCAAGGGCATCGTCTTCGCCACAGGAGTCTACACGGAGATTGGCGCCATTGCGTCGCAGCTTCGGAAGAAGGAGACTCGGCGTCGCCCCGTCAAGCGCAAGGCCGATGGCTCCGCGAGACCCCATCGCTATCTCGAGGCTTACACGTTGACCATGACGGATGCCATCGGCCGGTTCCTGGGTGTCAACGTCGGCACTCCGCTGCAGCAGAAGCTGTCGAAACTCGCCATGTTGCTGTTCGGCATAGCTATTGTCTGTGCCATTATCGTTTTGGCGGCCAACGAATTCTCGTCTGAGCAGGAGGTCATTATCTACGCTGTAGCTACCGGGTTGTCGATGATCCCCGCTAGTCTGGTAGTCGTGCTCACGATCACCATGGCGGCTGGCACAAAGCGTATGGTCAAACGCAACGTCATCGTCAGGAACCTCAAGAGTCTAGAGGCTCTGGGCGCTGTCACTGATATTTGCTCTGACAAGACTGGTACCTTGACGCAGGGCAAGATGGTGGCCCGCGGTGCATGGCTTCCTGGGAAGGGTACATACACCGTGGAGAACTCCACTGCGCCGTTTGATCCTACCGCAGGCGACATTCGGCATCACCCCGAATCGCCACGCCGCATCGACTTTAAATCGGGCGGCGATGCGTGTGGCACTATCGCCAAGCCCGAGGATATGGTAAAGGACAGCCAGAACAGCCTGGGCGACTTTTTGCAAGTCGCATCCCTTGCCAACCTCGCGACCGTCACGCAGAAGGAGGACCGATGGGATGCCCGCGGCGATCCTACTGAGATTGCGATTCAGGTCTTCAGCACACGCTTTGGCTGGAACCGCCACGAGCGAACAGCAGGAGAGAAGGCAGAGTGGCAAGATGTTGCCGAGCTGCCATTCGACTCTGACGTCAAGCGCATGTCGGTTGTGATGAAGCACAACGGAACCGGCCAGCTTCATGCCTACACCAAGGGCGCCGTGGAGCGTGTCATCCAAATCTGTACCAAGTATGCGCCGAGCGATGACGGACAACTCGTTCCTGTGACGGATGAGTTCCGCGAGGACATCTTGCGCAACATGGAGGTATTCGCTGGTTTGGGACTTCGCGTGCTGGCTCTGGCTAGCAAGCCTTTTGAATCGACGCTGCAAAAGGGTGACGACGTCGACCGGAAGCTCGTTGAGTGCGATCTTGTGTTTCGCGGTCTGATTGGTCTCTACGACCCGCCTCGTCCCGAGTCGGCCCCTGCTGTTCGACAATGCCACGAGGCTGGCATCTCGGTGCACATGCTCACAGGCGACCACCCGGAGACAGCCAAGGCCATTGCCATTGAGGTCGGTATCCTGCCCTCACGGATGGAGCGCATTGCACGGGACGTCGCTGCCGCCATGGTCATGACCGCCTCGCAGTTCGACGGCCTGTCTGATGAAGAAGTCGACAGGTTGCCGGTGTTGCCTCTGGTCGTGGCCAGATGCGCGCCCAGCACCAAGGTTCGCATGATTGAGGCTCTTCACAGACGTAAGAGATTCGTCGCCATGGTACGTCGGCCCATTGTCGTGTTTCGTACCTGATCGTTTGTTTCTAACCTGCATTAGACCGGTGACGGTGTCAACGACTCTCCCTCCCTGCGTCGCGCCGACGTAGGCATTGCTATGGGACAATCTGGATCTGATGTTGCCAAAGTAAGCAAAGTACCCCACGGCGTGTCTTCGACTTCTTTGCTGATCAGACAGGATGCGTCGGACATTGTCCTGACCGACGACAACTTTGCCTCGATTGTTGCGGCCATCGAAGAGGGCCGTCGTATCTTTGATAACATTCAGAAGTTTATCCTTCACGTTCTCTCGGAAAACGTGGCTCAAGCCGGCACTCTTCTAGTGGGTCTTGCCTTCAAGGATGGTCGTGGTCTGTCCGTGTTCCCCCTGGCTCCTGTACAGATCATCTGGATCATCATGGCAACCTCGGGCATGCCTGACATGGGTCTCGGTTTTGAGCGGGCTGTTCCCGACATTCTCCGTCGGCCACCGCAGTCGCTCAAGTCTGGTGTCTTCACAGCTGAGTTCCTCGCTGATATGGTCGTGTATGGCCTGTGGATCACTGCGCTTTGTCTCGCGAGTTTCTCCCTCGTCGTCTTTGGTTTCGGCAACGGCGACCTTGGTGAATACTGCAACGAAGACTATAGCGAGCGTTGTGACGTTGTGTTCCGTGCACGCGCGACGACGTTTGCTTGCTTGACTTGGTTCGCGCTGTTCCTGGCGTGGGAAATGATCGACATGCGTCGGTCATTCTTCCGCATGCAGCCTGGATCGAAGAAGTACTTCACACAGTGGATGCTTGACGTGTGGCGGAACCAGTTCTTGTTCTGGGCCATCATCTTGGGCTTCGTCACGCTATTCCCCCTGCTGTACATTCCCAAGCTGAACACGGTCATCTTCAAGCACTCGCCCATCTCCTGGGAATGGGGCATTGTGTTCATCGCTGCAGGGCTCTTCTTTGCCGGCGTCGAGACGTGGAAGTGGGGCAAGCGCGTGTACTTCCGCAGGCAGGACCGCAAGCGCCTCGGCCCGGCGTTCAAGGACATGGACATTGAACAGCGGGTGTTTGGCGAGTTCCTCGGTTCGGAGACGGACGAGGAGGCTGCCCAGGGAGGAAAGGCGCAGTAGGCGTATGGAAGCTGACGGACCACCAGATTGTCCTGTCTGTCGGCTGAAAAGTAAAATTGGTATTTGAGAGGCAGACGCAAGGCTTCAACACGAAGCGTCCTGTCGTGGCGGGTTATGCACTTGTTGCATTTGTTTTTATTTCACAGATATAAAATCCAAAAAGAAATTGTGCGTTTTAACAACTGAGACATGGCGTGAGTCAATGTTCTTCCACGTGGAGGTGCAAGGTTTACAGCATGTCTCGACGGCTCCTGGATGGAGAAGAATCATTGGGAATCACGACAAGCCGGAAAGCAGCAAGAACGAACATGCAAGAGGCATAGGCTGCCTACCGAATCCAACCAAACATGTACAAAAGCCGGGTCATGACGACTCGTCCACCTGGACGTACGCCAACAGTCCATCGAGCACATCATGGCGCGTCCCCGCATAGCGCACCTCGGCCTCAGTCCAGTTGATGACGCTCCACACGGCGTCGACGTACGCGGCCCGCGCATTCTTGTACTGCAGGTAGTACGCGTGCTCCCAGACGTCGACGCCAACAATGGGGGTCTCGCCGGGCGCGTTGGCGACGAGGTCTTGGTCGCGGGCCGTCACGATGCGCAGAACGCTGCCGCCGCCGCTGCCGCCGCTGACGTCCTGCTTGACGAGCCAGCCCCAGCCGCTGCCCTGGACGCCGACGAGGGCGCGCGAGAAGGCGTCGAGCATGGCGTCGAAGGAGCCCCAGGTGGCGACGACAGCGGCGGCGAGGCGCGGGGCGGCGGCCTCGGGGTGCTGGGCGTCGGGGCTCGCGGCCGGGGCGAGGTTGCGCCAGAAGAGGCTGTGGTTGATGTGGCCGCCGGCGTTGAAGCGCAGGGCCGGGTGCAGGGCGAGCTGGTCGGCGAGGGAGGAGGCGGCGGCGGCAGGGCCCCTCCCGGCGGCGGCGGCGGCGGCGTCGTACTTGGCGAGGGCGGCGTTGAGGTTCGTGACGTAGGCCTGGTGGTGCTTGGTGTGGTGGAGGGTCATGATCTCGGCCGAGATGGCGGGCTCGAGGGCGTCGTAGGCGTAGGGCAGCGGCGGCAGGGTGTAGCGCGGGGTGGCCAGCCTGGGCGGGTTGGGGTTTTGCTGGAGGAGTAAGCGAGTGATTGCGAGCAATTGCGAGCAATGGACTGTGAGCAAGTGATCGTGAAGCCCTCGCCTCGTGAGGAGGGCAATGAAGGCGAGTGAGTTGCTGGAACAGAGTAAGAACTCACCATCTCGGCGTACTGCACCTGCCCCCCGTCGGCCACATACGTCGTCCCGGCAGCAGGAGCACCGGGCGACAGCGAGGAAGCAACGTCTGACATGGCTCCTTACAATTGGGAAGTCTCAGTAACGTCAACACTATCGGGCAGCAATCCTCCACACACAACAAGCAGGTCACTTGGCAAGACCGTCAATGTCGAGTTCGTTATGTCTCGTCAAGAGCGACGGCGATGAATTGAATGTGGGGGGGGGCGTTGTCGCCGAGAGGCTTCGGCGGGGAACGGTGAAGAGACCGTGGCCTACTTCCTGTGGCTGTCGTGGCTGGTGTCTGCGACCGGCACCTGATTATGCTCCCTGTCGAACCGCCGGTGGCTCACCTGACGAAGAGCCTCAGTGCATCTGCCGGCAGCACGGGGGAGGCGTCGCGGGCCACAGGCAGTGGGCATGGAGTTCCGTAGCATCCGGACCCTGGACCAGATACGATCACGCCATCGCGCCAACGCACTACACCTCGTCGGATTCGACCGCCGGCCGTTCAACTTAATCTACAACTCTATCCCGACCTTTTGTCTTCTTCCTTTTGCATGTTTTGTTACACGGCGTGGCATGTGTGGCCTAGGCCAAGTTGTATCATGTGTTCATATTCATGCTGACTGGGAGCATTGTGCTCATAGGTATATCATGCTTTTTCTCCTCCTCCCTTTTATTCTCTCTCAAGAAACAACCCCCCCGCTGACGACGTCACAGGCCTCAAGCAAGGTATCGACCGATAAACGGCGTCAGGTAATCCATCTTGCCAATGGCGACGCCCTCCTTGCGCAGGATCGAGTAGAGCATGGCCGTGTGGAAGAAGACGTTGGGCACGACGTAGCCGGCGGCGTAGTCCTTGGCCTTGAGCTCGGCCGACTTGCCGGGCCCCATGCCAAAGGTGACGGTGGCGTCGGTGCGCTCCTCGACGGTGGCGCGGTCGGCGCCCTCGAGGGCGGCGGCGGCGGCGTCGAGGCGGGCGCGCACGTCGGCGAGCGTCCTGAGGCCCTCGGGCCACGACGTCGGCGCGGGCTCGACGTTGTGCAGGCGCGCGACGAGCTTCTGGGCCGTGTCGGTGATCATGTGCACCTGGAAGGTCAGGGGCAGCATGTCCGGGGCGAGGCGGGCGTCGAGGAGCTGGTCAATGGGCGTCGACGTGGCCGTCGCGTGGGCCTCGGCCTTGAGGATGAGGGCCTGGCAGGCGCGGACGGCGGCCAGGGCGTGCGTGACGCTGCCGTCGTAGAGAGTGTACGACATGGTTGCTGTGTGCGTGTGTGTGTGTGTGTGTGTGTTGGGGTTGAGGTGGGTGGTTGGGCGTTGGACTTGTCGTCGAGAGGATGGATTGTGCTAGCTGGCGCGAGGTCGAGGGGGTGTAGTCTGGCTGACTTGGGAAAGTCAGGGCCAGATAGGAGCAGGACTTCCCTTTCTTATGGCCTCGCTTCCTCGCTCCAACGCGCGCCAGCAAAGCGGTGAGCCCCTCCCCTTCCGTCCCATTGCCTCCCTCGCCTTGCCTCGCGTCGCTCGACACTTTCCCCTCCACCCTGTGCTGCCTTCTCTCCACCTCGCGCTTGACTAATGCATAGGCAGGAACCCGCCAGAGGCAAGAGACGCGGAACGAGGTACGAGGCAGGAGGCAGGAGGCACGAATGAGGGTTCCCCCGTCCCCGCAGGGCCCATCGCTCTTGCTCCATCGTAACGTTCCCGCTCGGCCGCTTCGCGATCCATCGAGAAGGGAAAAGAAAAAGAGACGACGAGGCAACGAGGTGTCACCGCTGACAAATGCCCCTTCTGACAAATGGCCCCGCCCCGCCCGACGCACCTCGTACGTAGGTACGTAGTACCCAGGTGCTACTTGGGGAAAGACGGGCCTCAGCTGCTGCCCTTTCGCCTGCTTGCCTGCTTGCCTGCCTGCCTGCCTGCGTCGAATCTGGAGAGGATGCGCATAGCGTATGCAGCCCAAACGTGCAGCATGACATTGACGAGCCTTTGCATCGTCTTCGTTCTCGTCATCGTCATCGTCGTCGTCGTCGTCGAAATCCTTCCGTCTGACGTTTGGGGAACGGACGATGGCCCAGACCAATCAATAGTGGGGGTAGAGCGGACAGGGGCCCTGCTCCTGAAGGTTGGTAGGGGGCCACACAGCAGAGCAGAGGCTGCTAGAGCCTTCTCTTCGCACGTCGCAGCGCGTACCCGCCTACATCTCCGCCGACGACGGCGGGCCAAGCTGTGTCGGACGAGGGGTTTTTCCTGTGCCAAAAGGATGCGGGACGTTACGATGCCGCTTGTCTTGGAAGATTGCCCAGGCACGACGTATGGTACGACCCTGAAAACGTGAGAAACGGACTCAGAGATTTGACCTCAATTGGTAAGCACCCAGGCACCGGACAGACCCCCTATGTTCTGTACCCTCTCAATGAGGCTTCACTGTCCACCTCATGACATGCCTCACAGCAACATCACAAGCCAAGGCGCACAGCATCAGTAGCAGCAACAGCAGGCCATCATATTCTCGCTACCCAAAACCGGACGATAGGCCTCTCCTGGCCAATGCCCCCCTAGTCAATGTGCAACGCCACCCTCCCAGGTTTCCTTTCCATTCGCGCGTAGCTCGTAGCTTGTGGCTCGTAGCCCGTATAGACAGACGCCAGCGCCCCTGGCGAACAAACAATCGAGAATGCTAAAGCGGAAGTAAAAAGAAAAAAAAAAGTGCCCGTTTGCCCACGTACCAAATGGTATCATACCTAGTCGTACAAGAAAACAGTTCGAGGCTGGTCATGATGCCTCACGTCTCGCGACCCCGTCGCATCCGCATCACCTCCCCTCGAAGATCGCGGTTCTCCGACTCGAGACCGCCGAGCCGCTGCCGTGCCGCTGTACGGTCGAGGTTTCGTCCTTCGCGCTCCGCCTTGAGCTTCATCTCGAGATCTCGCAGCCGCAGCATCCACGTCTTGTCCTCGGCGACACCGCTGCCGCCGTGACCCCGCTCTGCGAGCGCCGTCTCATACGGGTTCGTCTCCGCGCCGAGCGACACGCCACCACCGCCTCGTGAGCTGCCACCGCGCGAGCTGCTGGTCCGCGTTAGCGTCGACGACCGCTCGCTGTCGCGCCCCTTGCGGCTCTTCTTCTCGCGGTCTCGCGGGCCTGTGGGGATCGAAGGCGACGGGCTGCCGACGCCTTCCTCGCCCGCCGCCGAGTACGCTGCCCTCGATCGCACGTCGCTCGCTGTCCGCAGCGTCGCGTTCTCAATCTTGAGCTGCCGGTACGCCTCCTCCATGCGCACCATGCGTGAGTGTTCGCTCGAGTTGAGCGTGCCCGAGGCCACGCCGTTGCGCACAATCGACTCGAGCCGGTCCAGCTTCTTCGTCTTGGTGTCGAGATCGCCCTCGAGCGCCTGGTAATCCTTCCAGAGATCGCGCTCCATGTTCTTGATGCGCGACTGGAACCCTCCGACCATTGTCTCCATCGTCTTGACCGCTGCGAGCAGGTTCTTTGTGAACCCAGGCAGCATTGTCGCCACCGATTCGAGCGACGGTAGCGCCCGTCCGTTGATGAGGCTGTTGTTGTGCGCCCAGTCGGTGCCGCACAGCGACGAAAGCCGCGTCCACAGCACCAGCAGCAGGTTGTTGCGTTCCGTCAGCTGCTCCCTGAACGCAGCCTCGAGCTGCGTCATCTTCTTCTTGTCCATCGCCCGTCCTGCCTCGAGCTCTGTGATGCGTGAGTCTTGCGACGTCACCGTCCTCGACACGTGGCTGTGTGTCTTCTGGAACGTCTCAAACTGGTTGCGTGTCGTACGGTGGCCCTGCTGCTCCTTGTGCAGCAGCTCAGACAGCTTTCGCAGTTCCAAGCCGTGCGACTCGAGCAGTGCGTCCCGCTGCTTGATGATGCGGTCCTTCTCCACGAGTGACGCCTTCGTCGTATCGAGCTCGCGCACCGTGTTCTCGAGTTGCCGCTGTAGACTTGTAATGTTCTGTTTTGGTCAGCAAGGATCTTGACAGCAGCAGTTGCATGACATACCTTGAGCAGGCTGGAGCGTGTGCCGTTGAGGTCGCCCAGCGCCTCGCGCAGGTTATTCTCCAGCTCCATGAGCCGCTCCTTCCACTCGGTGGCCTCAACCTCACGCGAGTTGAGGTTCTTACGCAGCCGTCGCGCCTCATCCTTGGCCGTTGACATCTCGCGGTTGAGCTCGTTGACAAACTGCTGCACCTCTTCCTTCTCCTGGTTCGCCACCATCTCGCGTTGCCGCCTCTCCTCCTTGAGCCGCTGGTCGAGCTCACGGACGCGCTCGCGCTCCTCCTCGAGCATCGACTCGGCGTTCTCAATGGCCGCCTCGAGGTCGCCAATCTTGATCTTGTCGCCTTCCTGCTCCTCGCGGAGAAAGGCAATCTCGCTTTGGCTCGACTCTGCCTGGACGCCGAGCCGTTGCACCTTGTCGTTGGCCTCACGCAGCTTCGTCTCCAGATCCTCCGACTCCTTGTTAGCGTCCTGAAGGTCTTGTTCAAGCTGCTGGATGCGCTGGAACTTGTTCTCGTGCTCGTCCTCCAGCCGGACGATCGCCTCGCTCATATCCCGCATCTCTTTCTGGAGAGCCTCAAAGTTTTCAGACCGAATGCTGAGGTCTAACTGCAGTCGCTGCATCTCCTCTCCCTTTTGATCGGCTTCGTTCTCGAGCGCGTCAATCTCTTCTTGGGCTTCTTTCCGAAGTGCCTCAAACTCGGCTTCCATGTCCGCTTGTTCTCGGAGGGCTTCATCGCGCTCGGCCTGTAGTGCAACAAGATCCGCCATAGCTGCCTCCAGATCTTCTTGCAGAGCCGTCGCGGCCTCTTCAGCTTGCTGTTTGGCGTCGACTGCCGTTTCAAAGTCTTCCATGCAGCCGTCGAGCTCCCTCTGCAGTTCCTGGTTGTGCAATTTGACCTCGTTGATTCGATCGCGAGCTTCCGAGAGGTCGTTTTCGAGCTGCTCCCTCTCGGCCTCATCGGCTTCGGTGATTTGCGTCCTTGAAATGCTAGTGCGTGACATGGACCGGTGATGGCCGCCGGCCCGAGACGCTGACCGCTCAAGCAAGCTATCAACTGCTGAGAGGGCTGGTCCGCCGCGGCGTTGGGCGATTTTAAGGTCCTCGATTTCTTGGTACAAGCGCTCCTTCTCGCGATTCCTGGACGTGAGCATGGATGTCTGGGCGCCAACTTCGCGTCGCAATTCGGCATTTTCGTGTCGCAGCTGCTCGCTCTCACGACGCAACTCCTCAACCAATGTTGGCGCCGTGCTACTGAAACCACCATTGGTGTTCGAGTCCAAATTGCCCGAGAGACCGGATATCGGACGACTCGGGGATACTTGTCGGTTCTTCTTCGTAATGTTGTAGATGTTTGTCGTATGATGCAGACCGCCACCACTCCCTCCATGAGAAGAAGTCATCTCCTGCTTCAGGCGGAAGATTTCATCGCGCATGCGTTTGTTGTCCTCGTCGGCCTGCTCTCGCCGGGCGGTCTCCTGCTCCAGCAAGTCCTTCCAGACATCGGCCTCCTCCTGTCGGCCGAGATTCTCGCCAGTGCGTTCCCCAAGCGATTTGACCACCTCAGTCAACTTGCGCTTCTCCGCCTCTTTAGATATGCTGTCGTTTTTGAGTCGCTCAATCTCCGTGACGTACTCCTCAACACGCTCGCGCAAGTAGATGAGCTCCTCTTCACGTTCGTTCGCCTCGTGGTCAAAAAAGTGGGCAGTCTGATCGTTGGATGACGCGCCGCTCCGCGCCGTACTCGGACGGTCTTCGTCTTCCTTGAGCTTCTTCTCTAGCTCTCTGACGCGTCTCCGAAGCGCTTTATTGTCCCGCGTGACGACGGCAAGACTCGTCTTGAGCTCGACATTCTCAGAGATCATCTCCTTAACACCCTCTTCAGAAAGCTTGTCAAGACGGTCACTGAGAAACATGACCTTGAGCTTGAGATCAAAGTTCTCCTTCGACAGACGTTCAATAGTGCTGCTCTGTTCCTTGAGCGTCAGGTTCTTCCCTGAGCGGCCGGAACCCACGAGCGTCATGTCGGAGGGTTTTCGTGGAGTGGTGAGCCCGCTTTTACTTCGGTACTCCTTGGCCAGAGACTCAGGCACATGGACGTTCCTAACGTGACGTGCAATGACGGTGTCGGTCGGCGCCGAAAGATTTTCCTTAGAAGGCTTTGGCGTCTTCAAGAGATCCTCATTGAGGGGCCTGTTGTGTGGGGATCGCTCGACCTCCTCCAGCGTCTCCAAAGGCGTCGCGCCAGGCTCCGGAGTGTCGTTTATGCCCATGCCTGAGACCATGCTTCCCATGCTCACGGTGCGCGAGAGTATGTTGCTCATGGTACGAGGCATGATGGGCCCAGTAGCACCGCCCGATTGTAGAGCATAGTCTATTTCAAGCCCCACCGTGCCTTCACTGTCGAGATCGTCGTGGGACTCGGGGTTCGTGACGAATGAGGATGTCGAGGAACGCTGGCTTGTGCCGCGGCTGCGAAGGTACTTGGGCCGCTTCCCGTATCGAAGTGTATGCCCTGGGGTGCTGCCGACATCTACGGAGCCCCTATCCGTGCTCTGTTCGCCTGAGGCGTCAGACTGGGACATGGAAAGGTCAGCGCCGGACTGGTCATCGTCGGTCGCATCAGCGCTGTGGGCGACGTTGGCAGAGGTCTGGCGTCGAGGGTCATCGCTGAGGCTCGAGAGTGCGCGGGACACGGTCCGCCGGGCTGCTGCGGCTGTCGGGGAGGAAGAGAGAGTTTCGAGTGAAGAGGTCGTGTTGCTGACATCGGCAGTGTGGACGCTGTCGGATCGCAATTGGGGCAGTTCGTTATCGGACCGGCCGCCGTCGGTGTGAGCTCTTGGGGCGAAGGGTCGATTTGTTGGTGATTTGGTTCGGCCGGAAGAGGCACCGTCAAATAGATAGGTGTCGTCAGCGCCTGTGGTTGTTACAGTCGGGAGAGGCGATAGGCGCGACATGAAGCTCGACTCGACATCCTGAAGATGGGCTCGGACGGCAGTTTCGGCATGATCGTCGCCGTGGCGGGTGTCGTCAAAGGTAGCACCCTCAACAAAGCTGACCTCGGGGGCATTGTTTGGGGGCGGCAGCGAGGGGTAGTCGTTCCGTCGGAGGGGTGTCACATTGCCTGACCGCCCAGGAATATCATCGTCTGTCTTATCGTTCCCGCCTTTTACTGGCGATACGGTCGAGTCGTCGAAATCAGCGGGGCCGAGGAATGAGGAGGAACCACCGACGCGGTGGGCTGTTGAGGGGCGCGACTCGGAGTCGCGACTCGCAGGTCTAGAGTTTTCGTCGGCGTCCATCGAGGCCTCCAGCTGTGATGGTCGTCGTCGAGTGAGTGATGGCTGTGGATGGGATGCATTCGGCCGTGGCCTGGCCTGGTCTGGGGCGCGCAGAGTTTGCCGTGATGTGTGCGTCGGTATGTATGGTGTTGCGGACAGCAAAGAAAGAAGCTGACCACCTAGGTTGCAACTGCTGTGACTTGGGGCTACCAGGGGGGGGCAGCGTCGGCGTGGACGATGCGCGGGATGCAACCTTCAAGCCTACAATGACGCGCTCGGTCCTTCCCAATGCGCTGAGATGGAAGGAGCTGACCCCTGGCCTTCAGTGGATGACAGCACATGACAGCGCCTCGGCGCTGAAGTTTCAGTGTCTCTACAGTGGGCAGCCTAGTACCTCGTGGCTCTGCGACCCCTGACGTTGCTATGACAGCAAGCGCGATGGGTGGCCGCGACACACTCTCATTGGGCGGGCAGGCAGGTCGCCGCTTCCGGCGGGGGTCCAGCTGCGGGGCAGGCACCACGACCAGACCGAGCTGGGCGGAAAGAAGGAAGGGCAGTCATTGCTTCTGCTGCCTCAGACTCTGCATTGAGCGCCTCGTCTGCTTCGAGCCCCAATTGCATCAAGGACTTGACCATAGGTAGGTAGGCGGCGCCTGAAGGTAGTACCTTAGGTAGGTAGGTAAAACCAGGTATGAGCGAGTGTATGCAGCTCATCAACCACACAGTCCCAGGTATGGAAACCGTCCGCTGCCAAGCAGGATCATGGGTTGATACGCTCAGTTGCTGACGTGCCTACCATTTTCGTCTATTCATACAGCTCCAGCATATCCCAGGCAGGCCATTCTTCGAGCGCTGCTCGCTCTGACACTGCCCACCTTCATCTGCTTAGCCAAGCACCTTGTCAGCCATCGAGACGGCCGTGCCCGTGTTGTCAGGCTCAACGTGAGCCGACTTGACCGTGCCGTTCTCAACGACCAGCGCGTAACGCTTGCTGCGGATGCCGCCGAAGATGGCCGAGCCATCCCAGCCAAGGTCCAGCGCCTTGGTGAACTCGGCCGTTGGGTCGCCGAGGAATCGAATCTGGGCTCGTCAGCTATGCGTCCTTCCTATTGACCAAAAGGCAGATAAGTCTCTGAGGAGGGGAAACTCACTCCCGTCTGCTGTGCCGGGTCCATCTGGTCGGCCCACGCCTTCATGCTTCTCAAGGTCAGCTGCCAATCAATTCCGTTTCGCGGCGGGGAGAGCAAGCACCCACACAAAGGGGTCGTTGACCGAGACAACGAACACCGAGCCCGCTTCCTTGAGCTTGGGGTGGTTAATGTACGAGGGCACATGGCTCGCCGAGCAAGTGCCCGAGAAGGCAGCGGGCACGCCAATGATCAGGCCATTGGCCGACTTGAACTCGTCGGCAAGGTTGACCTTGTTGGCGGGCGAGTCCTCGACAAGAACATTGAGGTCGGGAATCTCATCGCCCACACGGACGAAGGCCCGGGGGGTCGAGTGAAATGCACGCGCCGCGATGGCGGGGCGGGCAAAGGCGGCTCTTCTAGTGACAGCACGGAAAGCCATTTTTCTGATTGGTAGTGGGCCGAGCTATGGCTGGATGATGAGTCGTTATTTGATGGGGGATGAAGGTAATTGAGGAGGGGTTGGAAGTTGATGAGGCTCTGACGATGTCTGAAGCAATGAGGAGCTTGGAGCTTGAGCTTGAGCCACGTCGCTTAAGGTAAGGTAGCTAGTGCTAATGACTGACATGACATCACCTGTCGACCAGCTGTGACCAGTTGTCGCTCACCTTTCTGAAAGCTGCGGCCAAGCTGGCCGATTCACAGTGTTTGACCTCATGATTTACATGTAGTAGCCATCGCGAGGTCCGGCTTTGTAAGATGCATCAGTTCTTATATGACACGTCCTAGAATGTGTGGACCTTCGCTACCTCAAATCAAAAGTGACGTCCACTGTGGCAGGCTCGTCGGATCACACGCATGGTTTGAAGCTTGTTTAACAGATAGAGAGCTTGTGTTTCAAAAGTCGCACGATTGTGAAAACTATAGAAGCACTTCGACTTCGGACTGAATAATCTCCCCGCGCAGCTCGTAATAACGTCCCGAAAGCATAATCCAGGGCTAGGTAGTTTATCCCTTAGTTAAAGCGAATGATTGCTGCCTGACCATCAACCAGTTGTAGCGCGAGAACCTGTCTTCCATTTGATATGATCTGGCGTAACACATTGAACATACCGACGATGCTCAGATAATTTGATGAGCCCATATGTGCTGTGCTGATGGTTGACTATCCGCCGATCTGATTCGAGGAGACACAGGAATCCTTGTTCGATGTAATATCTTCGCAGACATCCAATTTAAAGTGTGTAATACGGCTTAGCTGATGCGAAACTAGACGCCTGCGTTGTGATGGCGAAAATCAGGAACAAAACTCCTCTCCTGCGGAAGGAGATGAAAACTCTGTGAAGATGGAAACCCTGTCCTCAGCACGCGAGAGGCCACCCAAGTACCAGGTGTCGATGGCTTTGTGGTACTTGAGGGCACCAAACGACCGACCCCCGCTCGGTGTGCTTTCATGATGGACAGGCTTGGTAGACTGTCGCGATGCCCTCCTTGAATTGCGCACCGGCGGTCAACTAGACCGGTGGGAATCCTCAACGCTTACGAGCATTGAGCATATAATGTGGGTAACCTTGGCAGCTCGACAACAGCTGGGTGGTCTTGAAAGACAAGTTTTACCGACACCTCGCAGCCTCGGACTGATCACGACGAGAATCAAGTGCCCTCGTTGCAAAAGTTTCCAGGCGATCACTCACCGACCACCCGCGATCGCTGGCACGGGATCAACCTGGTGAACCCCGGCAGTCGGCCCGTCGCGTTTCGTTTCAGTGGCGAGAATGCTCTCTGGACCCTGAAAAAGGAATGTGCTGACTGACGCCTTACGCTGGGTGCCCACATTTGAAGAGTCGAGCGATGACCTCGAGCGTCGAGGCTTGAATCTCTCGGCCACAAGGGGGCAGGCAACTCCTTGTTGTCATCTTTGAACCAGGCTGCTTTATTTAACGGTCATATGATCTTGTCAAGTGCAATGGCGCCTGACGCGATGTTTCGCAGATGTGCAAGATGGACACAAGGACCTGTCTCATATCGGCGAGCCTCCCTAATCGACGATGAATCGTGGAAGCCCCGCCGAGTGCCCCGGTCGTGCTCGATTCTGCAGGTCGACTGACCCAACCAAGCGAGATTTCGTTCACATTGAAATTCCAGAGCAACGCCTTTTCTGCCATCCCACTGTCAAGTGTGCCATGAACATGTGCGCCTGGAATCTGAGCTCAGCCACCCTCGCCGCTGCAGCCAAGTTCGGGTAATGCCCTGAACCGCTCGACTCAGATGTTTCAAGTGGACGCTTTAGGAGAGGCGCCAACCAACAAGAAAGGGAACGCCCTTGGTTGCCCAAATCGAGCAAGTGTATCAATAGGCACAAAGCGCACAGATCGCGTTGGTGGAGCCGATCATCAGAGCGCGAGCCACGACGGCGTATTCAAATTTGGATGCGCAGGGAGCATCATTGTGACGAGTGGTGGCACGACGGTCTCGCAAGTCAGTTTGATGCCATTCAGCCAACAGTTAGATATATAGCTGTGAATGGAATTATACCGATGCCAGGGGTCCAGCATTCGACAAAAACGTGCTGCAGTGAAAAGGGTATTGAATTAGCATCCCCACAAAGCTGCGGGGCCGACTAACTGGGGCCGAGGAGTCCGTCTGCCGAAGCGCGAGCTGCAGGTACAAAAAGTTCGTCTGGCATACATAGTACATCCCCACCGACGGCGTCCTTAACCATGCAGCTGGCAGGCACGAACCCGCGACTTGGCTTGAACTGTGGCGATTCAGCCGTGATGAAGGCACGCCCACAAGTCGAGCGCGGCGTCGAGCTAGGAACGGAGGTGTGTGATGGATTCTCACGATCATTGTCATGGCCAGGCCTGAGCCGTCCGAGATGTTTCTCACTGGAGCTGGAATATGTTGGCCAAGCTAGGTATTCCGCTTTTTCGGTGCTCGGTGATGCGGCTGCAAAGGCTTGCGCGCGCGAGAAGCCGACGAATCGTGTTTGGCGCTGTTTACAACGACGGCTGATGATCGCCAATCGGCCGCTCCGAGGGACGTTAACACCAAAGGGGTGGAGAGGCAACATCTGAAAGAGCCGTCGCCGTGGCTAGCGCGAATATTCATCCAATGGGCGCCTGAAGGAGGAACATTACCGAAGCTTCAACATCGTCGAAGGTCGTCTACTAGAGCAAGGCTCAAGCGAGTTTGATGTGGCGGAATAGAGACCGCACTGATGATGGCAGACCCGATAACGTGGTGCGAGAGGCCATCCTTGCAGGGCTGACTGATCCCTCTGGCTGCTAAGTGTGACGCCACGCGTGATGAGAGTCACCGAGGTTACCATGACTCTTGCATCGGTTCAATGGTTCGGACAAGGATCGAGCTTCGCGACGACAGTTTCGGAAAAGGCGTCCTCTCCGAGTATTCTCCCTGTTGAGCCAGGACAGAACATGGCACGGCAAAAGAGAGCTTGTGGACGTGTTGGCGCTCTTGTTCCGGTTGAACCGACCCAATCCCAGTTAGGTCATCCTTTGCGACCGCGGCTGAGAGGGGTGACAACGAATACATGGGACGTGACTGACATGGATATGAGGACCGGACGAGGACTGGCTCCAGTGCTCCGCCTGCCCAGAGAAGAGATCAAAGAAACAGGTTCTCAAAATGCTTGGAGGAGATCCTAGCGTTATTGGCTTTGGCAACAGGGGTCCAGACCTCACATACATGTACCTACCTACCGACGGGTGTGATATGTCAGCTTGAGGAAGATCGTCGAGATGAGATAGCGGCAGCCACGGAGGCAGGTTACACACAATCCATCATCACAAGGGCGAAGTCGTAAGACGATAGCAGAGCCTGATGATGCTTGTCTGTTTCAAGCCCGTCAGCCGTCATGCGCGGCTGGTGTGCATGAAAAGGCTCTATGCAAGGTATGGTCCCATCACACTGGAGACTGTGCGATGCAGTCAGCGACTAGACGGAGCCTAACAGTCGGGTCGACGGGGTCGAATGAAGCTCCTCGAGTCTCAAGTTTTTGCTGTCTGTATGGAACCACCGTACGACTCATGGACAGGCCGGATACGTACGCAAAGGGTCTTCATGTCGGCGGCGACCCCTTCAATGCGCTCTGTTATCGGATTCCGGTGACGACGTACATGTCAAGACAAGCACGACAAAGACACACACATACATGTACACACACACCAGAACCAGTGGCACCTTGAAGACAGGCGACAGGCTGGTAGTGTGAGGGGTCAGATACGGTGGTACTACCCTCAGGTACGTGACCTGGGAGGTGTGGTTCACTGTCGACCACTCAGAGCGCGTGACGATCCCCCTCTTGGAATCTCACACGGCATGTGTCGACCCCCTGCAGCGTCCTCAAACATATATTCGTGGTGTCTGGTTATCCAGCTTGATTCGCCGTGACCAGGCTGTCGTCAGTAGCCCGTGTTCGGTCAAGGGTTCGGACAAAGACGGCTGAGGACCAAAACAGCAACAGACACAAAATGGACAAGGTGTGCATGGATGATGGCCCGAGCTGCCACGATGGATGGCGACAAAATGTTTGCTGGAGGAGGGTAAAAGGACCAAGACAGGGAACAGGTCGAGGACGAGAGTCGGGCCAGAGACACGAGAGACAAGCTGAGTGGGGACGAAGGGAGCAAGGACCTGTCCAGTTCAGGTACAGAGCCCGCACAGGCCAGGCACCAAAGACATTTAGCCAGTCAGAGCAGCTGCCCAACCCCCAGTCCCCACCCTTTTAGACCGTTCAGGGTGCAACGCCCCTCTAATCCCAAATTGTGCAACAGCGGACCTGCCCATCCCCCCTCCTAGCCCCTGCCTCATGCTGCCCAAGCCGTCCGTCGCCAGGCGGTACTTGCCATTCATCTGGCGCTGGCAGGGGAAGAGCGAGTCCCTTACATGTACCTATCTTTTGCGCTCTGTGCTCCGTGCACTGTACCTTTCTCTCGGCGCTGCACCTGCTTGCATCTATCTGCTTGTGCCTGCGGAATCCCCCCCCGCCTCACTGTGCATCGGATGCCTCCTCCCTTTTCCTCCTATCCACCGCTCATCCACTACCACGCACCCGCCATCATCTCGCGCCTGTAGTCCCTCCTCTTCCTCCACCAGCGGCCTGTGACCGTGACCTTATCCATCTTTCACCTTTCCTTGTACGCACTTTACGACCCTGGCCCGCCCATCGTCTGCTGCACAGCACCACCTGCAAGCCCCCCCCTCTCATGCTTCTTGCACTTCTTGCCCTCACGCCGACTTGTGCTGTCAAGGTTCCCCTCCTTGATAACCATAATTCCTCATCCGACCACCAACTCCCATCTTCCAATCTTGTCTCCGGTCCAGAGACGACACGACATTCAGCCATATCGAGCCGTACTCTGGAATTGCATGTCCGACGCTTCATTCGACTGCACGAACACAGCCTGGACACTTTGTCGCCAATTCCCCGCCGCCAAACAGGACAGGCTATCCACGTTGGCAGAGCACAGTCACTTGTCCTCAAACCTTCAGCGAACACCCCGGCCATAGCCCTCAAGGCTCGTAGTCGACGACCCAATTTCGTCGAATTTCCGACTCCTAATTGAAAGAAGCTGACCAGTATCCCGTCGAAATCGGCATCGACGCCC